AATACGCTTAACTCTTTTTCTCCCCTTTGCTATCTTCTTGAATGGCGGATGGATGATAATGTTAGCCAACTCTGGCGGCACTACCCACTACTCTTCTGGAGGCACTGGATATATTGTTTCTAAGTACGCTAGCATGTAATGATCTACCATATAGAGAGGGGAGCAAAGTTCCATGTAAATTCTTGAACCAAAATCCAGCTTCCATTGGTGTTTCAGTGCTGCTAATGCATGAGGACAAGGTAAACGTTGAATGTCAAGCACTTTACAACTACAAGTTTTACTAACAAGGTTAACTAGAGCATCCGAATTATAGCCGCGCATAGTGAACTCTTGAGCATTAAGAGGATAGGCAAATAGTGCATTTGACAGTTCCATACGTTCTCGCAATAATTTTTTAGCTGACGGAACAAGGGTTGTAGTAAAATTATCTGACTCCGTATGATGCTCATGGAACCACCGTGACAATGTCCTCTGGATTACATCAAAAAGTGCAACCATTGGAAACTCTCTTTCTATTAACAACTTTGAATTTATAGACTCCGCTATATCTGTGGTCATGACATCAAACCTTCTTCCAGGAAAGTAAGTTCTACTCCATCGCTCGAAACCAACATCATGCTCAAGATACTTAGCAACTCTATCATCCTTGATTCGGATTTACTGGAACTGCTCCTCGAACTCATCAACCGATAAGCTTTTGCTGCCATGTAGTATGTTTGAAGGAGGCCAGCACACTTAAACTTTTGTTTTATGTTCTCACCAAGGTGCCTCATACAGAATCCGTGATGTGCTTGACGCTAAATAGTAGCAATCCCCTCTTATAGAGTTTGCCTATCAGATATTATGCACAACTCGTCACTGTCAAGCATATCATACGTAAGCTAAAAAACCAAGTCCACGACTCGTCATTCTCAAGTCACCACACACCATGCAACATGATATGTGTGATTTTCGCTTCCTGTGCAGTGGCCACCACACATGTACCTCCATACTTTCCCGTTAGAAAGCAACCATCACAACCAACACCTTTCTCATGTTTCAAAACCCCTTATAGCAGAACCGTAAGCAAAAAAAATTTAAAACATCATATTCCTGTCCCACTTCAAAGCCGTCTTGCTACCTTGGTTTGTCAACTCAACCATATAATGGTACGCTTCTAAACTGCGTCCCTATGCTCCGGTGTGCCCCTCACAAATCTTGTTGTCTCCTTTTCCAACATTTCCGTAACTAACAGCACATCCCAACTCTGTGCTACAAGTCTCTGAATGTCTTTAGGAGATGACATTTCCCTTCAACGAACTGACTTTTGACAATTGTTCACAGGTATATGTGCTAAGAATAAATTTTTTCGACTTCGCCAACCTTCTACAATAACTCACCACTTGCACTTTCATTACGACATGCACCCGTCACAACTATGAATTTGACTTTTTGGTGATGAACTCAAATTACTCTCACGGCAACAAGTTTTAGCTTCCTCACCACTTCCTCTTTGTTGTCAATAAATACCCTATACGTAACTCTGATCCACCATAAAAACATGAGCTGATTCATTACTACCTCCAATTGACCCCTCGAACCTGCATAAACGACCATAATTTCTCTTCTTCACAATCTACGCCTTCTGCATAATCTGTATTAAAGGAATCTCTACATCTGTGAGAACATGTACGGGTCCTCCTCCTCACATTTCCATTCTACCCCCCATCACCAACCTCTTCTACAGTGTCCTCCTCACCACCCAATTCACCGTCTACTCTTGATTTTTCAACAACAAATCATGACCTCGTAATTCAATTAAAACTAGACAATCTCCGCCTACTTCCTATTTCCGCTTCCTTTGAACCAACTTCCAACAATTTTTCTACAAAAGAAACCCTTAAAATCAGGCTTGAACCATTATCATCCCACATCAATCATATATAACTTCACACTTCATCCGACTTTATATAGCAATAAGTAACTTATATGTTCAAAACTCTGCTTAAAACTACTTCACAACTATATCACTACCGAGCAACTCAATCACCTCTTCTATTATTTCATCAATCAACTCATCAAAACTAACCTGCTTGCTCACAGCAATTGGTTAACTTCTTTGCTCTTCCCATCCACTTCCAGCTACTTTCTTCCTCCACCCACTCACCAAAATATTCAACACCAAAACACTTGTCCCATGTGTATAATAGCCAACTACCTATAAGGCAACAAAAAAATATTCTTAATGCGTTTACTAATTTCAAATATTTAAAAGAATCTGCACAGTCGCTTATATGATCTGATGTACACTTAAGCGACACACTTGATCGCTTAAGCGATCCAGTATAAATAACCATGATCACTTAAGCGATCTTATGTCATTTACTGATGCTTAAGCGATCTGCTCCTATACACTAGACTTTTAACAAATCGCTTAAGCAATCTTATGCCACATACCTGATCGCTTAGCGACTATCTGTTGCATTACCATGTACCTGATCGCTTAACGATCCATCATACCCAGACCACATTTTCAGTCATCTCCCCTACAATTGATCCATCATACCCATAAACATACCCAGAACATTTTTACAAATTTCACTCCTTTCAACTTCCATTACATCAAACACAGCCCAACAACCTAAACAACTAAATCAAAATCATAACCAAACCAATCCATGCTAAATCAAAATCATACCCAGATCTTTGTAAATCGACAGGGAATACACTACTTAGACGAAATGTCGAGGAAGAGAGGAGGAGGAGGATCTGTGTTCGAGAAGATTTAATGGCGAAGGAATGCGTTAGTGGCGGGAGGAAGAAGAAGGTGTTGGGTTTGTTTGGAAGAATTTCGACTCTTTGGACATATATAATTTTTAAAGATTACACAATTATTCTTAATCCTAATAACCCCTAATCATATTAATTAAGCTTAATAAAAAATAAGGCTATTTAGTTAACATTTACAACTACAGAGCCGTTTAATTAAATTTTAACTTCAATATCTTTTTAATAAACTGTCCCCTTTTTTGATGCTTTGTTCTGACTTGGAAGGTGGAAGACTTTGAGGTTTATTATGGACAGAACCAATTGGAAGGTGACATGGTGAGATGGGATTGGTGGAGAGGAGTGAAGTTGAGTTCTGGTTAAGACATTAAAAGAAAAAGGAAAAAGAAAAAGGATAAGATTTGTTTTGTCTTAAACTTGTTTTTTTTTTAAAGGAGGAATGTGATTTATTACTTATGCATCAATTTGGGAAAGTAATTTTCCAACAATATTTGTGTTTATTTTACTTTTAAAAAAAACTCGAATGTTAGACCTAAAGTCTCGCATTGCTCCCACATTAGGATAATCAATGTTTAAGTAATTAATAGACTTACTCAATAGGCGTGTTTTAAGCTTGAAACCCAGTAATAAAACCGCGAGGTCTATAGTGCCAAACTAGATTTTAGAGAATGTTAGAAAGCATTTTCAAATATTGAAAATATCAAATCTGAATTTTTTCATTTTCAAATTCATTTTTTAATGTGACACCAAGTTGCAAGTAAAAATGTGAATCGCAAGGTGTGTTATAATTTTATAAAGTATTTTGTATATTCAAGATAAAGGTTCTCTTCTTCACCCATAATTTATTAGCAAATCCATTTTATTTAATATAATCTTGTTTTGGATCTTCGTATCGTATATAAAAACAATGCAACTTGGATATAAATATCCAAAAGAATCCCTTCTTTTAGAAACAAATAAAAAGAAAAATCATAGACATGGGAGATTGAACTCCACAACTAGTTATTATTTACAAAGTATGAAGAAGCCATCCAGGAAATGTTTCCAGTTTCTATTATTAGACATAAATGGTCAAACTTCTTATTTGAGAGGATTACTAAGAAAAAAGAAAAAAAAAAAACTATTCATAAGATATATGTTTTTTTCTAATGCATAATAAACCATAAGCAAAATGATAAATTCTTAAGAAATACAGTAGTAGTAGTACAAGCTAAGATGTTCATATCGGCGAAAGAAACGTTGTCAATAATTTCGCAATACATCTTTCATACCAGTGGAGATTGAAACAATTTAGAGTAATACGAACCAGCGTAAGCACACACAAGTAGAGAGAGAATACTATAGTGTTTATCCTGGTTCACCCCATTAACAGGTTATCTTCAACAGAATCAATATTATTGAAATACTATCTCACCTCCCTCATTACAATAAATATGTTTTCCTATAATTTGCTATCACATTTATACAGAGAAAAAATAAGTTCATTACGGGTTGATGACTTAGAGAAATCCTTCAACGGGACCCCTGAATGCTTCTATGTAATAGACCGCCCAATGCACTGTGTGACCGTTATTGTAAGTGGTCAACAACTCCAATGAGATGCAAAAGCAATTTTGCAGGCATTTATAGAAGATGTTGTGGAAGATATGAGCAGGAATATGTTAATGTAGAGCTTCTGCTTCAAGGAAGACTTCTGCAGTTTGTAAGCTCCATATTTTATCAACTCCTGCAAGATCAATTGAGCAATATTATTGACCTTTATATAAACACGAAATTCTTGACTTGGGTTAAAATAGCAGAAAATTGTAAAGCTCAAAAAGATCTGTATCTGATTTCAGAGATTCTTCTTGACTAATGCTGCACATTCCAAGTCATATCCTGAAATTATCATGCAATAAGTCGGAAAATTTTCATGAGTTAAGTTTATCATTGCGGATCTTTTAAAAAAAAGAAAGAGCTTAGTTTGGAGAACGAATTTTTCAACTGCATATGTGGCATATGATTGTTTTGAAGTCAGATGATGACTTACCAGAAATGAAGTTATATCATATTTGGGAGCGGATCTTCCTTCACAGCTTATGGTTTGTTCTCAATTTGGCTCTATGGCCATAAATTAGTAACCGGCAGACAATATGAAATACCACGACAAAGTAATCAGAAACAAAATCATATAAGTTTGAAATGTACTTGTTTCTCAGCCAAAAGGTAGTTTATATGATAAGTTATCTGTAGAATCTACTCGAAATCTGGAAAACAAATCTGCATAACTGATACTTGGGTACAAATTGTATTATTAAGTAAATAAATGAACAAGACAAGAACAAACTAGTCAACCTCCTCATGCCTGGGAAATATATACAGCTTGAGGGGAACTAAATTATAAATGAAGTTCAGAAAAATCGTGTTGCGAAGTATTTCCATCGTTTATGTAGGTTCAATCAGATAGTCCAGCTTTTCTAGATATGTTAATCAGTTTGTAAATCTCATGACAATGTTATAGTTGATGGGAAAGAAGAGAATTCTCATCATTGTCATCTAAATCAGGGCTCTCCTCGCTTCCATGCTTGATGTCGATTCTGCTTTCTTTCTCTTTATTCATCATTTTCAATTCTGAAACATGAAGTTGAGTTGATGGAGAATAATCTGCTTCCAAGTTTGGCATTTCTGATTCTATTAAGGCATCCATCTTTGCGCGCTCACGGTCTCCAGGGTATGTGCAATAAAGAAAGGAGTAAATGAAGCAACAAATTGTCATTGGAATTCCAACTGCTGTGTAGATTGCCTTGGCAAGTGATGTAGCATTCTCCCTGCCTGTTTCAATCTCTCCTGAATCTGGTGCTCCCTCGGGAATTGGTTTATAACCATAAACATGCTGAGCCAAAATCCCAACAACGAATGGAGCAAAATTTGATAGTATATCCTCAAATGTTGAATCCAACGCATAGATGCTTGTTCGCGATCTCTCAGGAACTATCTCTGCAAATATTGGACTGTTTGCAACATTAGGATATTATTGAATTCAAGTTATAGATCTGTAAAACGTAGTCCAAGAACACTAGGAACAACAAAGTGGATTAAGAATACATACTTGTTTGTCGCAGGAACATTCCAGGAAATGAAAAATCCCATGATGAAGAAAAACAGACCATGCACAAATGCTGAGGATGGATAGTCCGGCAAAGCCAAAAGCAAAATTGCTGCTATAGGAATGGCTGAGCCGGAACTAATCTGAGACAAAACTATCCTCCCAGAATTAGGAAATCGTTTCGCAAGAATATCCCCCATCTTTCCTCCAAACAGACCCCCAAGAGAACAACCAATTACAAATAAGGTCGTGATGAATGCAGTTAATTTGTGGGAGAAACCAATGAGTTCTAACCACATAGCGGCAAATGATAAAGCTGAGCCTGGAATTGTTCCAGAGATACCTTGAGCCACAATTATTTGGAAAGATGGGATTTTAATAACCATATTTGCCTCTTTGATTAGGTACTTCATGTCTGATGAAAAAGACTTGCGTGCTTTTTTATCTTTACCTTTACTATCAGCTTCAAATTCGCGAGGATCATTAGCGAAGATGCGAACCAGAATACCAACTAGAACACTTATTAGTCCAACCAGATGGAATGCAATTCTCCAACCGGGTATACCCAAGAATGATGTTGAGGCTATTAGTACTGAAAACATTCCACCGATGATGGAACCAACGTATCCAGTGAGTTGCAGCCATCCAAAAGCAATGCCGCGATTGCTCTCATCAGTTGAATCTGCAACAAGGGAATGAATGGCAGGTATGACAATAGCAAGTCCAATTCCATTTAAGCCTCTTGAGACCGCCACCTAAAAAACCAAATGAGAGGACTAAATATTACACTATGCAAAACTTCAAATACATTACATTACGCAAAAATTTGTAGCTGGATGGCAAACCTTTAGCCACTGGGGTTAGCTAAACCCAAGGGTCTTGTATTTGATTTGCGGGAAAAAAAAACTTCAAATACAATAAACAATAAGACTATGAAAGACTCTTTTTCTTCGAATTATCAGTCAAAGAAGCAGAAGGAACAAGTTAATAAGGCAGCAGGGTTGTAAAATTCTTCTCCAAAACAAATTTAACCATATTTAAGGAACATGAAGATATGCATTCAAGCTCGCAATTGCTTGCATACAATCATTTGAGCGGCTTTGCAACCCCAATGAAGACAAATTTTTGCCTCAAATTCTCACAGGAGTGGTACAGAAACTAAAATTAAATCAGTTGCTAACTTCATGGGATCAGCAAATGCATTTGAATATTCATCCAGAAAACGAAAAATCTCAAGTTCCAATATGAAATTACGAATCATAAAGTTACGAAATTATGAATCAATTTTCATTAAAGCAACAATATTCCATGCCCATTTTAGCACCCAAATTCAAACGAGCTAGAGCAGCTGGTTGACACTCCCAAGTATGCAAAATAAAAAAAATTAAATAACCCATTTTGGCAACCATGGAAATAGCCAAAAAACATAAACTAAAAAATCACATTAAATCAAAATCAAAACCAAAACCAAATTTTGCAACTTGAAACGCGATAGATTGAAAAATTACAGATACCCACCTGAAAGAAAGTATTTGAAATGGCGACAAGAAAGGTGGCTGCCGCCCAAAGAAAAGCTCCGAGAGCGATGACATGAGCTCGGTTATGTCTGCAAGCTAAGAAAGCAGCCAGAGGGTAACAAAGAGACTGTACGATTGATCGAAACAGAGTAAGGGAGCCTAAGCCAGTAGGATCTATATGCAAAGCGGCACCAACTTCTTTGTACACTCCCGGTAATAATGACTCGTCAGCCCTCTCCATTATGGCTGCGAGATTCACCAGCATCAATGTTACAGTCTCTGACTTCATTGTGTTTGCTCTGTTTTTTTTGGAGGAAGATTCCTCCGTTTTTAGTACAATGAAAAAGAGAGGAAATGTTGGAAGTTTGACTTGTGATTAAGACAGGGAAATGAATTTTCTTTTTCTTAAAATTTCCCTTTTTAGAAGGAAAGTATCTTTTAAATTATGCAACTATTTTGGGATTTTTTTTTTAATATTTATTTATTTATGGGTTGTATTTCCATGTACCGAAAGGAAGTGTCTTGATTTTGTTATTTTGAGCAGGATGTTTGAAATAATATTATTGAGTTGAGTTAGGTTATTATTACGAGAATAAAATTTGAATAAAATGTTTTGGGTAGAGTGTTACATCAATATTGTGTTAAAGGGGTATTTTTGAAATAGGATAGAGAATAGTATTTGAAATAGCAAAAACACACTCTAAAATATTTATTTATTTTGATGAATATTATGTATAAAATGACAAAATCATCTATATTTGAAACGACATGTCGTTTATACATGAGAACCGACGTGTCGTTTACCTTCCACAGACATGTCATATATGTGATGAATATCAATGTGACCCCTGAGTTTTGAAGTATAGGATAACCCCCTATGTGTGTCAATTTGATTGGAGGTAAGTAATAATTACCCTCTACAGAATTTTAAATTTGTTTCTAGAACGACATATCGTTTATCTCAACCCATGATATAACAACATGTAAGTAAAAAAAATGTTATACCTGAAAAAGTAGGGTTGACGTGGGGCCTCATCAATAAAGGATGGTCAGAGTTCAGAAGGGTTTTGTGCCATCCATGTGCGGCCACGTCACGCCTAAAGTAAGTAGTATGGCTCCTATCAGTGCAACAAGTGAGTGCCATACCAGCAAGCAGCTAGAGATCGCCCACGTGTCAAAGCTCTACTTTAGTCGAGGAAATCCCTCGGTCAGGTGACTAATGGGACGCAAAGAAAGGATTTGCATGGCACCTACCCACTTGCAACTTTTATAATAATTATCTTGAACTCTCCCACTATAAATATAGGACTTACCTCTCATTTGTAGGGGCTTAGCAAATTTTACTCTAAAATAGCTCTCTCTCTCTTATATTCTTTCCCTAAACTGTAACTCAGCTCGTTGAACGCGACCTGACCTCTCTCTCCTATTAATATAATAGCAGTGGATGTAGGATTCGCTTGTGAGCATCTGAACCACTTCAAATATTGCTCTTCACCTTTTATTTAATTCAATCCCCTCATATCACGTGTGACTTCTAAGTCTTTTTAGCATTTTACACGTGCAAGTAGTTGGTGTCAAAATGAAACATCAACAATTTGGCGCTAGAAGGAGGGCCTGATTTAGTATATACTCTTCATCAAAAAAATCTTTGACTAATCGATCCCACAACAACAAATGGCTCGGGGTTTTGAATCTGAGCAAACTAATTATGATAATGAAGAAATCCCCCAGGTACATGAGGACACTTCTCCCGAAATGTCGCTAGTCCAACAGAATATCATGGGGGATATTCCTTCAAGCTCGTGGCTCGACCCAACTGTCATGAGTTACCTGGACAGGTTCAATAATACTCTTCAAACGGTCAACCAAAGGCTAGATCGATTGGATCGGGTTGTGCCACCTAAATCCAATGAGGCGGTGCCACCGCCAAAAACACCTACAAGTTATATGAAAGCACGGAAAAGGGCGAAAGCCCATACCGCGCACACTGCAGTGCGTCAGAGAAAAGGGAAAGCAAGTAGCGCACAACGAACCCAAACTCTGAGGGACTAGCAAACACCGATCACGCCCCGGGTAAAATACCCGTGGCATTGCGACTCAGCTATATGTTGCAGTATGAGTCGTCCTGTGCCACGTCGCATGGGCACTCCCATAAAAGTGCAAGGCGGGGAGATTCCCAATATCATCAGAATGACAACTTTGATCGTCATCGTGTAGGGGATTCCCATCGTCCACGGGTTGGTTTGTACCACTGCAGAGGCAGGAAGACTCCCTGAATCACTCAATGCCATCACATAACTCCTGCCAGCGTGTGTCGAGATTGGTTGGAGCTTTTGGCCGAGGTGAGGAAAAGTCTGATTTGCGGTCTTTCCTCAACTGCAACCATGAGGGTCGAACCCATGTTGCGAAAAGTGATCCCTAGGTAGCTCTGCTGCCTCAGATTGAAGAACTACAGCGAGCTCTGGATCAGCTTAAGGATCAACAGAATGAGCAAGGGCAGGTCGAAGAGGCGTCTCCTTTTTCTCGGGTAGTGTTAGCTGCCCCTCTCCCATTGAGATTCAGAATGCCCAATATGCAAGCATTCGATGGGAATTTTAATCCACAGGATCATTTATACGAGTTCAACAACCTCATGGAACTCCACCAAGTCTCTGACTTGGCAAAATGTCGTTGCTTGGCAGTAACCCTTATCACCCACGCCAAGCGTTGGTTCAGGTCGCTTCCAGCAGGATCAGTCGGCTCATGACCTCAAATGAGCTTAACATTTCTCAGGCACTTCCAAGCGAACAGGAAGTTCGTAATGTCGCTAAGCTACTTGAGCAATATACAACAGGAAAGGGATGAACCCCTCTAATCTTATGTAGACAAGTTCCACAGGGGGCTCTACAAAGTGGCTCATACTCTCGAAGAGTCTGTTCGGACTCTCATCATTGCGAGAGTTCGCTCGCAGACAAACTTGTGGAAGAAACTACAATCTGAGGATGATGTTTCCCTCACTTGCTTCTACAACCTTACTGAAAAGTACCTCCGGATTGAAAGTTCTGTGGCAGCTCTTAATTGCCACGACCCCGGTCCTTCGGACAATGCTCCCAACCGAGGGGAGAATAGGAGGGCTGATCGTAGATGGGCTAATGATGATCAGCGAAAAAGAAAGAAGCAGCGGTATGAGTCCAAGAAATCTTATGCCCCAGTTCCTTGTCGCGATTGCGACAAGAGTCAATACACTCCTCTGAATGCCTCAGTATCGGCTATTCTAGATAAATCAGAGGAGGCCGATTTGCTCGGAGAGCCCGAGCCCATGAAAAATCCCCCTTCAGCCAGAAACAATAAAAAATATTGTCGTTATCATCGGGATAATGAGCATCACACCGATGAGTGTCGAGCCTTCAAGCAGGCAATTGAGGACCTCATTAAATATGGGCACTTCAAAGAGTATGTTGATGACTCAGCTCCCGTTCGGGGGAAAAATCAAGAGAAACCAGAGAAGATGCGTCATGGTCGCAAAGGTCTCTACTATGTGGGGATCATCTTTGGAGGACCACACCTCGCCGGGAATTCTTGAGGTGTCCAAGAAAGGTATGATCGGGAAGCCCGTCATGACCCCATAAATGTCATGAGCACGACGTCGTGACCCACCAAGGTTTGCAGAGAGAAGGAAATCAACTTCTCCCAAAAAGACGCGATGCGATTGCATTATCCACATGAGGATGCTCTCGTCATCATGCCTGAAATAGGTCGGTGCGAAGTCCACAGGACATTGTGGACAATGGAAGCGTTGTGAATATTTTATTTCAGCAAGCCTTCGAGAAGATGAAACTAGATGAGATAGATCTGAAGTCTGCCTCTATCCCTTTGTACGGTTTCACTAGGGATCATTTGATTCCCAAGGGGACGATCTCGTTCCAGGTCACGTTGGGGGAAACCAACGAGATGACTAAGATGACTGAATTTTTAGTAGTAGATTATTCGTCCGCTTTCAATGGCATTTTGGGACGACCTCTACTACGAAGCTTCAAGGTAGTCACTTCAATCTACCATTTGAAGATGAAGTTTCCCACCCCGATGGGGATAGGAGAAGTAAGTGGATCCCAACGCATATGTCGCGACTGCTATGTAAGGGCAGTGCAGATGACGTGCAAGGGAAAGGGAACACCAGTTGGCATCTCTGAGCAGGCAATGGCGATCAGTAGGATCAAGCCACAACCTGGCCTAGTTGAAGATAACTTGGATCCTCGCATCTAGGAATGCCTTCATAGTGGGTCGGTCGAGGACCTATCCGAGGTTTCAGTCGATTAAAGCGAGCCGACTCGAGTGTTGAAAATCGGAAGTAATCTCAACCCTCAGCTCGCCAACGACCTGACATGCTTCCTCAGGTTGGTGGGCTTGTTTGGGGTGGTTTTGCTTCTGTCTGCATGTGCTTGTTTGGTTTGTGCAAGAGTTTGTTTCTGGGCAGCAGGGGTCTTGGGTTGTGGGTGGCTGGTGTTTGGCATTTGGGTGGGTTGGTGGGCTGGTTTGGGGTGGTGCTTGTTTTGGCTTGTGCTAGAGTTTGTTTAGGGATGGCATGTGCCATGTTTGCTTTTGGTTGCTGTTTGTTGGGTTTGCTGTGGGTGGGCGACCAGTTCTTGGCTTTGTGCGCCAAGGAAAGCAAGACTTTTTCAAATCATAAATGTGTATATAGTTTCCGAATCACTGGCTTGACATAACAGTGATGGATTTCAAATCACGGCCAGTCACCTCAAATAGGCATCCTTAACTTACAATTCATTGATTTTTTTTACCTACTTGTTGAAGTTAATTGTTTCAGAAACTTCAATCTTGGGTTCAACTTCCAAATGGAAACTGGGAGCTTGTGAAGATAGTGTCAACTTCAGGGAAAGAATCAGTTGTTTCACTGCCTAAGGGAAAAGTAAGTGAGATTTCAGTAACGTTGAAAATGTTGTGTTCAATTTAGTGTTTGACCCTTTTTTTTAATCCTTATATTGTAGGTTCAGAAGGTGAAATCTGAAAGTTTGATTTCGGCAAATCCCGATATCCTTGATGGTGTCGATGATCTCATGCAACTTAGCTATTTGAATGAACCGGCAGTATTGTAGAATCTCCAGTGTAGATACAAGCAAGAAACAATTTATGTAAGTGTTTTCATATTGATGTTATATTTAATTTTAATTCTGGTCGTATGTTGCAAGCTTTTCCTAAATCTTTTACTGGGTATAATTGTGTGCAATATATATAGACCAAAGCAGGACCTGTGTTGGTTGCTAGCAATCCCTTCAAGAAATTTCCTTTGTATGGAAATGACTATATTGTGGCATATAAGAACAAATCTATTGAGAGCCCGCATGTGTATGCTATTACAGATACAACCATCCGAGAAATGACACGAGGTGCATTTTGTGTTTAATAGTATTGGATTGAGCGGTCCTGTATTAGCAATTGTTCTCTCTCTGTGGTATACTAATTCTGTCTTGTTTTCTTTTCCCTGATGAAAGTAAATCAATCGATCATCATAAGGTTTGTAGACTGTAACTAACAACTAACTTGATTTTGTCTTTTCAACCTTTTGTCATATTTTCCATTTATCATTCTGTTTGTATTGTATGCCTAGATGAGTCAACCTGAATATTGCAGTTCATTGTATTTGCTTTTTGATTATGGATATATTGCTTTACTCATGTTTATATAGCATCCGAGCTGGTTTGAGCGCATTTCATTCAAAGTCATTTCTCATCAAGTAAAATGAAAGTTTATAACCTATTTCCTCCCTTTGTGCTTTTTCTTTTTGGTGGCTGGCTAGATGCCCTACTTTACTCTAGTTTTCCCCATACTGTGATATGGAATGAAACATGGTAGTTTTGTTCAAGTTATCCCTTTTGTATCCTTTGTAGAGTCTGACTTGTAGCCATGAGATGCTCCCCTATATCTGTCGAATTTTAAAATTCTGTTGCTGTTTCAAAAAGTATACCTGTATTCATGTATTGATTCTAATAGTCACCTACTTGTCCAGTGGTGAAAGTGGAGCAGGAAAAACTGAGACAGCAAAAATAGAGATGCAATATTTAGCTGCTCTTGGTGGTGGCAGTGGGATAGAATATGAAATATTGAAGACTAATTGAATCTTGGAAGCATTTGGTAATGCCAAAACATCGAGAAATGACAACTCAAGTCACTTTGTAAGCTGCCTGTTCTTTGCATGAACATCTCAGAGTTATTTACTTAAACTTCTTTTGTTCTGGTCTAGTAGTTGTACACTATCTGAAGTTGTTTTACTTTTAGCCTTTTAAGTAGCAAGTATTGATAGTCTGGGTGAACTTGTCACAGGGAAAGCTGATAGAAAACAAAATGGAAGTGGTGATGATAGATGTGTTGCATGTCGGTTCTGTAATGTTGTGATTGTTCTGCAGGTTTTTCTTTAGAAAAAAATATTGCACTAGTGTGTAGCAAATTGTGTTATGAATTATTAGTTTTACATTTTTGCATGTAATAGTGATTTTATATCAAATAAGTTAATAGTTTTTGTATGATTTATGAATACACTGCGGCAGTCCTGTGATATGTACTTATTTGAAAATGTGCAGATTTCAGAGGCCTCCAGGGGCGATCCCATCTTCAATGCTAGGTTTGGAGGCTTTGACAGGAAGTTTGGATGATTTTAGTTCTGAGGACTATTTGAATGGTAACTGTCTACTGGTTGACTTTTTGAGTTTGGTAGTCACTTATATTTTCTGAAAACACTCTCCCTATACTGTTTGTTGCATATTAAGAATGCTTATGGTTATCATGAAATTAAGCCATTTGAACTGAAGGCTTTATAAAAGAATTTCTTACCTTTAAGTCACCAAAGTGTTTGGGACCTGCATTCCTCAGCCAAATTTGATCATAATATCCTTAATAAAAATAAACCTTGTCATGAGCAAAATTTGTTTTTCAAACTGTTGGATTGTCTTCTACCTCCATAGTTGGGAAAAACTCGATCTGCAGTTTTGTAGTAGTTGGCATGCAATAGGATATCAAAGATTTGAGTTATATCAATAAATGGACTATTTCCTCACCTCCCCCTCTTTCCTTGTCTAAATGGACTATTTCTCGATCTGTGCGGCTATACTAATATTCCCTGTGTTCCAGTTTTACTGGATGTCTTTGTAGAGTCCATGTTAGTGAATTCCTTTGGAATAATAAATCAAATTGAACAGTTGTGGAGACCCATCAAATTGAAATTTTTTCTCGAAAGGATCATTATTTCTATCACGTCATCATAAGAATTAAAATCCTTATTGGCTTGTTCCTTTTGCTCTTCATCTTCTATTTTAGATCAAATTTAAATTTTAGTGTTCAAAACTTCTGTTTTACCTTTTACAAGACCTTCATTATCCTTGCTACATGTCGCAGAAATTTGAGCTGGACAAACTATATAAGGAACTTTGTCCATTATTCTTCTGCAATAGCCGCATTAAAAAAATCTATTATAAATGCTTGAATATGAAAGAATTAATCTGTTTAATCGACGTATTTTACACACGGAAAACAGATAATAATAACCTGTAAGCTCTCCTCACTGCCAATAAGAACCATGGGTGAACAACAATGCTTAATTTACCCCACCCTGTTACCTGTATCATTTTCCATTTACAATTTTATCCTCATTTAATACAAAGTAGGGGTTCTTTAGTAAATTTGTCGGGTTTATTTAGCATCAGTCTTCAACCATTATTATTAATTTGGAAAACTGTTGAAATTTATACCTTTGTTCTATGAAACCATGCTGAAATGTCTTACTGGTCAAATTTGGCTAGATGATAAATTTTGATGGACTAGTTTTTGGATTGATGATACAATGTATGTAAACTGTTTGGAGCCCTTATAAAACTTCTTTTAGATTTTTCTTGGAGCGTGTAATTTATTTTAAGTTTTTGCTTTTAATATATTGTCTTTTGAATTCTGAAGTACAACACTGTCAGGTGCTATCAAATGATAAAAAGAGGGCTATGTACGATCAATATGGTGAAACTGGAGTATAAGATACTGTAGGTGGAGCGTCAAGTGCTTATACGGCACTGCATCTACTTGCATAGTCATTTCTCTAACTAGCAAATTGGAGAAAAGGTGCCTTATTATTACATCATCAGGTGACATATAGTATGTATTTGTGGAGTTTATTTGGCCAGGTAGCATAAAAATGAAGCTTATTTATGAAGCATATGCTACTTCTAAGATTTTCATGGCAAACTGTATTTCCAGAGCATACTTGATGTCTTATATTCTCTCACACTGCATCTGCTTTTATACGTTGGAGCTGTCTTTTATGTTTATTTTTTTGTTCAAGGGACTCACTGGTTGAAGTTATAGAGCTCTGCCTTATGTTTAGCTGTTGGGACATTGCATACATATATGTAAGCGTGTATATAGTCATGCTATCGTTTTACACTTGAGTTAAATATGCTTCCTTTTTTTTTTTTTTTTTTTTGATAATCTTCTTGATCAAGATGAGAAGTAGTGTACAAAAATTGTTTGATTGACCTTGCTTTAGGCACTGATGCAACTTTCTTGGTGGCACTTACAGTTTATTCTATGCTTAGATGTTAAATTGACTCTTCTCTTTCCCCTGTCCGCAGACTAACCCTTTTGATCTATTAGACATTCTTTGTTAGTATGGGTGGTTTTCCGGGATGGACCAAACTATTCAGAACACAGCCGGCGTGTACTGTTCCAAGGGTGAAGATATGAGGTGATTAAGTCATTGTTTTCATATGTAGTTCAGCTGCTTCATTATCAATTTATATTGGCCGACTGTTGCAACAAATTTCTAACTCTATTTAATATGTAAAAATTCGTTATCCACGAAGATGGAAAAATATTGTTTCCACGCATTGCTACTTCGTAAGATCATTGATATAAACATGTCAGATATGCAAATATACCACTAGAGTGGTTTTTGTGGCTGTAACTTAAGCTGCTTGTTGAATTATAATAATTGTTGTTGGAAGGATAAATATTATGATAATTTCGTTGCACTATTCTATAATTTAATTGGTAATAATCAGGAAAATAACTAATTACCAAAAAAAAACTTGACAGTTTTAAGACGGCCAAGAATTTGATTAAAATTCAAAAATAAAACCAATTTTTGACCGTTTGAAAACTGTCAAGACCTTTGTTTGACAAGGGATTCAATGACAGTAAAAAACTGTCAATGAAATAATAATTAAAATTCTCACGTTTTATATATATATATATATATTAGGTAAAAGAACATATACAATAAATTGAAAAATAAAAAAAGGTAGAAATACATTAAATAAAACTAAAGTTAATGAAATGAAACACTGAAATATTTGTTAAATTAACTTCATTACAAACATATGGTCTAAACATAACATATGCTTGCAAGATAAGAAGTACAATCAGGAGGGATTGGGATGTCTACCGTCCCTTCCAACATAAGTAAAACCTCTTCATGGAGGCGAAAGGATGGCTCATCAATGATACACCAGTGCAATTTTTACGATTGTCTCCAATTGTTTCAATTCAACCTCTTCATCTCCTATTAGTTGGCTTAAATCCCTGAATCAAACATTGGTTGCCCAATCTGCAAGAATAACTTGATCCTCTGGAAGGTTTTGGTCTATCTTCTTCGACAACATATATCTGCAACAATGCAATTCCAAAACTGTAAAATCTACTTTAACTGTCACAGGCAATTTTCGATGCCATTCTGGTGCAACATATCCCTTTTTCCTCTAATTCCAGTAAAGGTTTTAGTTTGGTCAAGCTTCATTAACTTCGCTAGACCAAGTCAGAAATTTTTGCACATTTGCTATCATCCATGAGTATATTTTGAGGTTTTATGTGCAATGGATGATTTGCGTTCACATTCATCATGGGATACAAAATTCCTCTCGCTATATCACGAGCAATGTCCATTCTTTCGATCCAATTACATTGTTTTTCGGGTGCAAAGAGTAATCAGCAAGAGAACCATTGCTCATGTACTCATACACCAAGACTTTGTCGGGTCCATCAAGGAATAACCAAGCAAACGAACTAGATTCCTGTGATGGGTTCTACCAATAACTTTGATCTCAGTTAGAAACTCTCTTTCCCCTTCAGCTAACACATTATCCAATCTCTTGACAGCTACAAACTTTTGGCGATTCACTATAGTCCCTTTATAAACTGTACCTGAAGATCCTCTGCCAATCTCTTCCTTGAAACAATCAGTCAGTTTCTCAATTTCTTGATAGCTAAATATTATGGGAGCAATATCCTCACAAAACTCTTCATCAAGAATTCTTCCATACGACCATACATGACATTTGTAGATGACAATACCGAAAACTGCCACAATAACAAGTATAACAGCAACAAATAAAGAACTTACAATGATGATCATGTCCATTGGCGGGTATTTCTTGCCTTCATTAATCGGCAGATGGGGTCGGTCACCAGTAGAGGATACAGGGTCATATACCTTGACAAAAACAATATTGCTTTCATCTCTTCGCACAAATCTCAAAGGAAGCCTTTGCATACTGCACTGACCATTAATATTGAATAACGCAGCTTCACAGATACTGTCCTCCAAACAGGCTTGTTTACACTCGTCTTTGGTTTTTTGCAGAACCGAATACGGAACATCTTCGAAGACATTAATGTTCACTTCCCGCATGCTGTAAATCACAGTTCCATGGCTGTTAATGAATCTTTCAGCTGCGAAATTTCTTTTACAGCCTGAATATAGATTTTCCCGGTCAACATACACAAATCCTGGAAGACATCTACAACCAGGTTGGTGGTCAGGATTCACAATACAATAGCTATTAAAGCCACACTGACCTTTGGGTTGACACTTATCTGTTGAAGATTCCCACAGAATTGACAACGCATTATTTTGTGTCAAATTATGAGAATACAGTCTGAATATCCCGTCCCAATCAATTTTCATAAAATACACTGATCTTCCTGTTGGAATCCCAGCTGTTAAATTCATTATACTGAAGCCAGTGGAATTATGCAGGTAAAGATGGCCATCCGAATCAAGGCTTAATCTCACATCAGCACCCCACCCTACTGTACCAGATGCCCAATAAGCAGTTGCAACTGCAATTTTCTCCATTGGGTACTGCACAAGATTTCCATCACTTTGCATGATAAGAAAGAACCTCCCCGTCGAATGGTCAGTTTCTGAAACATTCGATACCAATTCCTGTCCATTCAGGAGACTTTGACCTGTTAGAATAGTGTCAGTTGGATGATCAAAACTCTGCCATATTATTCCTCCACTAGAATTGTGAAGCACAAAGTTGCCAGAATCAAGCATGGAAGCATAAGAGGCGGGTCCGACCTCGCCTTGAGCTACAACAGGAGTCTCTTGGCCTCGCGCTGATTGCAGGACAAGCCTGCCTTCAGTATTCAACAGCAAACTAGCGTTGCCGGAGACTGGTGGATCATCTCGGTTCGCTGTCCAGACTACAGTTTTCTCAGGAATTCCAGCAAGAAAAATTCCAACAGCATAGGCTTTGCCTTGTGGATAAAATCCGAAGGCGTAGAGACCAGATCGTGACAGCCATGAAGAGTTAGTGGTGGGTGCTAGAGAAGATCCTAGACTTATATTAAATTGTTTTCGTTGCGCATTAACATTAAAAGATGCACATAAGAGAAAGCATACAGCATGAAGGAAAAGAAAATGAAATATCTTCATTTTCTGAAATTATTTCGGATAAATTGATTCTGATTTTACGGAAGCGAATGAGAATGAAAACTCTGTAATGCATATATTTAAAACTGCGGAGGCCAAAGTCTCCCACTACAAGTCAAACTTTTGACTCATAGGCATGTATGTTGATTTCATTACCTTTGAATTCACACGAAGAATCAGAAAACTATCAATACCATATTATCATGGACATCTAGTCAAGAACCGAAGATCTTGTTTTACGTTTTTATAATCTTAAAAATAATGCCAAACTATTCTCAATATACTGATGCAACAATTATACATGTCTAACATATCATCTACTCTAATTTGTTTAAATTATCTCTAATTTAAAATTATCTAATCACATTAAAACGTATCAGTTTGTATAAGTGAATTTGTATAAGGAAACCACTTATAGCTTGTGGTCAGATGATAAGACCTTAGGTTACCCAGGTGTCTTATGTTCGAGTCTCATTAAGTGATCACCTACTACATTTATAACTTATTCAGTCCATTGAACATAGGGTGTTCAATGAAACGCATGAATTGGTTAAGATATACACAAACTAACCCGTACATCCCAATCAGCAAAAAAAAAAGAAAAAAATTATATAAGGAGTGCAAAAATTATATAAGGAGGAAATATATGAAATTCTTTTGTACAGAGCAAAAATCTTGTTTTGACGAATTCTTGCATTTAGTGTGCTTTTGGGATTGTTGTAGGTTAAGAAACAATCAATTAAGTTTTAAGCTACAACAATACAAAAGTGTGTGGTAAATAATTGATTAAGTTTGAATAATCAGATTTATAAAAGGAATCCAAAAGCTAGGTCCCTTTTATTCATTATTTCCTATCCTATTTCTTGTTCTATCCTCAAAACAATTGTATGTTTTATTATTAAGAAAATATTATTATATTTTTTTCAACTATTTTAAATCCTTTAAGTATATTAATTTCACTAAACACCCTAAGAAAAAACTTTAAAATTTAACAAAAACAAAAACACCCACATCTATCCATATTTATCAGATTCTAACCACCACCGCCAGAAGGTGGCTAGAATCTGGTATAATAGCACACTACCACTACCGGTTGGATCTAATCGGTAGTGTGCCAATCTATCATTTTCAAGCCAGATCTTTGGCCGTAGCTGGTCGTCAACGACGACCATTCCATATCTTTGACCATCGTTGACGACCAAAAATGACGGTAGATCTGACATTTTCCGACCAAATCCATGGTGGATCTAACCGAAAAAAGTCATATTGGCACACGAACGGCCAGATCTAGTCGCTGGTGCGCCGTAATGTGGTTGGAATCTGGCAACTGTGGGTATGGGTGTTTTTGTTATTTTACAAATTTTTTATATATTGGAGTGTTTAATAAATTAACAAATCTAGAGAGATGTTTTTGTTAATTTTTAAATCCTATCTCGTTATTCCCACCTAACTCTAAAAATATCAAAAATACTAAAACAAACACACTTTTCAAAATCAGGTTATTTTTTAAGTTAATTTCGTATGTTTAAATGACAAAATCAGATTAATTTGAATAATTATTTTTTAAATTGAAAAAACATAGCACAAACTACAACTGCCTGAATAGTCACCGGACTATACTACCAGAACAGTCACCACCGACACCGGCGACTTTTTCATGCAGTGCCTGGCGACAGCGCCGGTTTCTCGAATATCAACGTGATCCGATCTATGCTACTGAATATTTTTCGGCCTCCTACGGCTAAACGGCGCGAAGGAGTCCGACGATGTAACCGGAATATCATAGATCGGCTTGTGTTGATCATTCTGATGCTAGCTGTGTCACTGGACGCACCACGAGAAGGTGGCCGCCGAAAACCACCGCCGGTGGTGGTTTGGCATTCCAGTTCTGGCACTAATCCCGCATTCTAGTTTTATGTTTTTAACTTTTATATATTATTAAATTATTTTAAGAAATTATTTTTTTAATATTTATTAAAAAATATTTTAATAATCATATTGTAGAGACAAATATAAGTCCTTTTTTCTCTTTATACACACTACCACAATTTGAAAATCTACTTTATCAAACATAACATTATATATTATAAATATCAATTTAAGAATTTGTTTAACGAAACACTTTGAAAATCATTTCCAAAGCACATTATTTTCAAAGTTTCAATTTTTTTTTTTCAAAAAAATAGAAATATCATAATAAAGACTGAGGAACTATATAGTAGAACAACCAACATTTGACTGCCTTAATTAAAATATATTTGAAAGGAAAAATAAGAGAATTAATTGGTATGTATAAACATATATACCAATTAATCGGAAAAAAAGATATATTTGACTATATAAGGTCTTTGGTAATAATGATAGTGCAAAACAACTAAAAATTGTGTTGAGTGTTGACTCATTCAAGGGTTGATTAATTTTTCTGTGTGCATTTTTCGCCGCTCATTAAAGGGTATAATATTATTTTGACGTCCCTTATACTATATACCTTTGAATGAATCTTCAACAAGACTTTTAACATTATCAATAAGCAGTTTATACATATTATGAGTCACATTTCACATTCCAGCTGCTAGCCACAATCAAGCAAAGCTTGATCAATGGCTTGAATCAAGCAAAGCTTGATTTTAGCCATTAGGAATTGAATTCGTTTATCATCAAATTTGTTTTTTACAATTCAAAAGTCGATTTTCTCATATTTTATAAGGAATTGAATTCCCCAATTAGATTTACCAAGAAAATTCCCAAAAATAAATATGGAATAATCATAACTAATGTATATGGAATTATCATAACTAATATTTATGGAATTATATAACTATATTGCAAATAAACACATATTATACACTAGCCAATCGCAAATTCGCAATTACCATAAAACTAGAATAAGATTTTAACACATAATTCCAAAATTGCTAAATCAAAACCCAAATTAATATAGGTAACTTGCTCAAAACCATAATTCCCAATTTCAATCAAACACATAGGAACTTGACATACCTATATTCATAAATTAAATTGAAAGGAAATGAATACCAAACTAGAGATATTGCTCTAATATCAAATAGAAGCAATATGTCATCAATTTAATAAATCAAAAGCAAAAATCCAAGAACATATCTCCAACCATAGCAATTAGTTTCCAAATACTGTAGGAGACACTTGAGATTAGTTCTAGTCTATCCAATACTTCATTTCATGTATATATAAAGAATCACTGACTTTCTTATAGATTAGTGACCTATTTTTCCTCTGTGTAATATTTAGTTTTGTGTAAAAATATTACGTAATCTGTATTTCTTCTAATCCATTAAAGAAGAAGTTGTATAAAGGGAAATTACCACTGATAACTGATGGAAAGTTAGACGTAACTGATGTGAGAAGTTAATAAAAATAATGGGCCACAATAACTTACAATCTCTGCATTTTTATGTGGAAAAATGAATTATAATCGTAGTGAATGGATTTGGAGCTAAATAATAAAGAAGATCCCGGAATGCATATTTGTAAGGTCTATGAAAATCAAAAGTCTCCCAAGTCAAATCGCTCAAAAGACTTGGACTTTTCAATAGTCACCCATTACCATTCAATATTATACCTAACACTCGTGGTATGATGACTTTTCTTCTTCTTCTTCTCGCAGTTTTCTCCAAACTGTCATATCAGCATCAAGAAAATGGATTATTCTAAATTACAAATCAAGTAAGCCAAACTATATACTGTGGAAAAATACTTTTATGTATTTCTCTCGTTACGCTCATATAACATATTCTCATTGGAAATTGAATTATAATATTATGCATAGAAGACTTTGAAGTAATCAATGTTCTTAACCTTTGTAGAGTTGTCTGTGTCATTTGAATTTGAAAATTGATTATACGGTAATTGGAAGAATAATGCAGCTAAAGATGCTCATTGTCAAAAGCTACTTTCTACACTCACTAATTTAATATTGCCACTAACATAACATTTCTAAGTCTTCTCAGTTTTCTGTAAGTCAATTACACGGCTTCTAGGAAAGCTGATTTTTACGTACCCAACCTGCTGACCCGGGATTCAGAATTTGCACTGCGTACCATCTTTATTTGTCAATTTCTAGGAAAAGAAATAATTACATCGGACGGTCTTGTCACTACACTCTGTTGACGTCTATGATGAGTTATTTTTACAATTCAACTTTATTTTAAAATCTAAACTACAGTTTATTACTCTTGTGAACCTTTTACTGCCGTTTGTTAATATAAAGGAACAATATTCAGTAAAATTAATTAAAATTTCATCTTTTAACCTTGATCAATATAGTAAATCATGGTCTTCATTTTAAATAATAAGGAGATCTCAAATTTTAAAATTTAAATATAAGTGTATAGGAAATTCCAATAATGTATATGCAAATTGACAATTATTGACTTCGACGCAACACAATGTCCATCCTCAACACTTCTCTATGTTTATCATCAAATTCCTTAAGCACCAAGATAGATGAATTTATAGTACAAAGGATACTTTTGTCCCTGAAGAAAACCATTTTTTGGAAACATATACTGATACATAAATGAAAAAACTCTGAAAAATTTAGTTACATTTTACTTTCCACGGTAATAAAAATGTAAATGCTAGAACACACAAATAAACACAATGACATAGATGCAACTAAGATAAGAAGCGGGATTAGGAGGTATTGGAATGTCAACAGGCCCTTCCAATATAACTAAAGCTTTCTTCATCGAAGGGCGAAGCGATGGCTCATCAATAATGCACCAAAGTGCAACTTTTATTACCCTCTCCAATTGTTTAAGTTCAACTTCTTCATTGCCTACTAGCAAACTCAACTCACCCGTCTCAAAACACTCGTAAACCCAATCTTGGAGAATAATTTGATTCTTTGAAAGATTCAGGTCCATACTTCTACGACAACATATGAGCTCTAGCAAAACAACTCCAAAACTATAAACATCTACTTTTGCTGTCACAGGTAGATTTCGATGCCATTCTGGTGCAAC